TAGAACTGCCTCCTCCTGAGGCACCGGACGGTTAGAACTGCCTCCTCCTCCTGAGGCACCGGACGGTTAGAACTGCCTCCTCCTGAGGCGCCGGACGCTTAGAACTGCCTCCTCCTGAGGCACCGGACGGTTAGAACTGCCTCCTCCTGAGGCACCGGACGGTTAGAACTGCCTCCTCCTGAGGCGCCGGACGCTTAGAACTGCCTCCTCCTCCTGAGGCGCCGGACGCTTAGAACTGCCTCCTCCTGAGGCGCAGGACTGCTTAAAGACCTGTGTACCATGGGAGACCCTACCAGGAGCATAAAGCCCCAGACAGCAAAGCTCCCAGGACCATCGGAGTCCTCATACTCCCCCACCACGGTAATAATAATAATAATAAAAACAATAATAATAACAATAATAATGTGTGTCTGGAGTCAGACCTTGTAGAGTTTGCTCAGATTTCTGGTCATCACCGTCAGATACGCCGCAGATTCTCTCACGTCCTGAACTCGCTTCACAAAGAATCCATCCACCACCTGCACACACACACGCGCACACGCACACGCACACGCACTTGTCACTTCTGTTGTACACATATGTCCTGCATGTAACATGTTTGCACTGAGTGTTCTCTCCGTGCCTAATGTGACATGTACATTTCTCCTTGTGAGATAAATAAGGCACATCTTATCTTATCTCTGGTCCCTGTGGTCCCTGTACCTGTGTGTTCAGTACTGCCTGCTGCAGGGTGGTCTCTCTGGTCCCTGTGGTCCCTGTACCTGTGTGTTCAGTACTGCCTGCTGCAGGGTGGTCTCTCTGGTCCCTGTGGTCCCTGTACCTGTGTGTTCAGTACTGCCTGCTGCAGGGTGGTCTCTCTGGTACCTGTGGTCTCTCTGGTCCCTGTGGTCTCTCTGGTCCCTGTGGTCTCTCTGGTCCCTGTGGTCTCTCTGGTCCCTGTGGTCTCTCTGGTACCTGTGATCCCTGTACCTGTGTGTTCAGTATTGCCTGCTGCAGGGTGGTCTCAGGTAAGCTCAGGTGAGAGGCTGCAGTACCACACTCCTCCACCAGGTACACAGGCCGTCTCAGACCGCAGCGCTTCAGACGGAACTGGACAAACAGAAACACTCAATATGAAAAACTGCAGACCCGAGGACCTGAAGACCCGAAGAGGACTGATATTTTCATGTGTGCCAAAATGCCTAAATACAGAAAGAGGGTCCTCGGGCCTTCGGGCCTTCAGACTCAGGGGCCTCGGGCCTTCGGGCCTTCAGACCCAGGGTCCTCGGGCCTTCAGCCCCAGGGTCCTCGGGCCTTCAGGTCTTCAGACTCAGGGTCCTCGGGCCTTCGGGTCTTCAGACCCAGGGTCCTCGGGCCTTCGGGTCTTCAGACCCAGGGTCCTCGGGCCTTCGGGTCTTCAGACTCACCTTCTGCTCCCGGAACCTTCCGTCGATGATGCTGCCGCACAGATCGTCCATCCTCTTCCTCTCGATGATGTAATCCAGCACCAACTCCCGGCCACAAGGGGGCCTCAGCTGTCCTGCACACAACACACTACGTTTACACAGGTACAGAGAGACCAGAGAGAGACCAGAGAGAGACCTGAGAGAGAGACCAGAGAGAGAGACCAGAGAGAGACCAGAGAGAGAGACCAGAGAGAGACCAGAGAGAGACCAGAGAGAGAGACCAGAGAGAGAGACCAGAGAGAGACCAGAGAGAGAGACCAGAGAGAGACCAGAGAGAGACCAGAGAGAGACCAGAGAGAGAGACCAGAGAGAGACCAGAGAGAGACCAGAGAGAGAGAGACCAGAGAGAGACCAGAGAGAGAGAGGGAGAGACCAGAGAGAGAGACCAGAGAGAGACCAGAGAGAGAGAGGGAGAGACCAGAGAGAGAGACCAGAATGAGAGAGCACAGAGAGAGTGGGAGAGACCAGAGAGAGAGAGGGAGAGACCAGAGAGAGAGACCAGAGAGGGACCAGAGAGAGACCAGAGAGACCAGAGAGAGACCAGAGAGAGACCAGAGAGAGAGACCAGAGAGAGACCAGAGAGAGACCAGAGAGAGACCAGAGAGAGACCAGAGAGAGAGACCAGAGAGTCCAGAGAGCGACCAGAGAGAGACCAGAGAGAGACCAGAGAGAGAGACCAGAGAGAGTCCAGAGAGAGAGAGGGAGAGACCAGAGAGAGAGACCAGAGAGGGAGACCAGAGAGAGACCAGAGAGAGAGAGGGAGAGACCAGAGAGAGAGACCAGAATGAGAGAGCACAGAGAGAGTGGGAGAGACCAGAGAGAGACCAGAGAGAGAGAGGGAGAGACCAGAGAGGGAGACCAGAGAGAGAGAGGGAGAGACCAGAGAGAGAGACCAGAATGAGAGAGCACAGAGAGAGTGGGAGAGACCAGAGAGAGCCACAACATGTGGCCTGTATGCTCCTAACACATACATTTATAAAATCAGGTGTTTCCCTGTGCTCTTAAATGCCTCTGCTGGCCTCGTCTCCATGGTTACGTCCTAAACGCCGGAGAAATGGTTCAATCCAGTTTCTCACACTTCAGTCTCACGTCACATGAGCTCATAGGGACTGGCACCAGGACCCCTCTGCGCCTAGTATATAAACTATGCTAATGCTAATGCTAATGCTAACAACAGTGAACCCTGGACCTGGCACTGGGTCCATCCTCTCTCGGGCGACCCACAGGAAGTCGCCCACGTTTAGTTTGCGCACGTCGAAGATGACTCCGTTCTTCTGCAGCTCCTTCACCAGCTCCTGTTTGCACTGCTGACTCCCCCCTCTGAAACACACACAGAAGTCAGCCAAGGGAGACCAGAGAGACCAGAGAGAGACCAGAGAGAGAGACCAGAGAGACCAGAGAGACCAGAGAGAGACCAGAGAGAGAGACCAGAGAGAGAGACCAGAGAGACCAGAGAGACCAGAGAGAGACCAGAGAGAGAGACCAGAGAGAGAGACCAGAGAGACCAGAGAGACCAGAGAGAGACCAGAGAGAGACCAGAGAGACCAGAGAGAGACCAGAGAGAGAGACCAGAGAGACCAGAGAGAGAGACCAGAGAGAGACCAGAGAGAGACCAGAGAGAGACCAGAGAGAGACCAGAGAGAGAGACCATAGAGAGACCAGAGAGAGACCATAGAGAGACCAGAGAGAGAGAGCGGAGAGAGACTAGAGAGAGAGACCAGAGAGAGAGACCAGAGAGAGACCAGAGAGAGAGACCAGAGAGAGAGACCAGAGAGAGACCAGAGAGAGAGACCAGAGAGAGACCAGAGAGAGAGACCAGAGAGAGAGACCAGAGAGAGACCAGAGAGAGAGACCAGAGAGAGAGACCAGAGAGAGATCACAGAGAGAGATCACAGAGAGAGACCAGAGAGAGACCAGAGAGAGACCAGAGAGAGAGACCATAGAGAGACCAGAGAGAGAGAGCGGAGAGAAGGACCAGCTTCTGTTTGCACTGCTGACTCCCCTCTCTGAAACACAACACACAAGTCAGACAGCGCCAACGCACAACCCTTAACGCACACACCGCAGACACCATGTGTAGCGCCTCGCTGCATCCCCCCGATACTGGACTGGACCAGGTCTGCTTGACGTACCCTGTGGTCTCGATGAAGTCCACACACAGGACGATGTCGTAGGATCCTGGGAGCAGAGTCTGAGCTTTGGTCTGGACTTGGACTCGGGGGTCTGGAGCCGCGCTGGGGCCCTCTGCTGGACTGAGAGAGAACACACACTAATCCTCCAAGATTTTAACCCTTAACACTAGGACCGCCGTGCTCTAAACATACCTTGCAGCGCCCCCTGCGGTCAGTTGACCGCTATGTATTTTGCGCTGATACAGCCTTTTGCCAAATTGATTGTTCACTAAACCAGAACTTGTTGTTGCAAGGAAATCGTGATCATAATGAAACTGTGTAAATTATTTGTCTAAATATGCTAAGTAATTGTAATTCTAGCCGAAATAAAAGGCTAAGACGACACATTGTGCGTGTACACGATGACTTTTCAGGGTAGATTTATTTTGTAACTTTGCAAACACCTAAAAGGTTGGTCACTATATGTTAAATTTGACTTAGTAACAATATGTAAATTCAAACAATATAAATGATAGTTTAGAAAAGCACGGGACCATAACGTCTTCGCGCTGCTATGCGTCTACTTCTTACGTCATCTCCAGACTGTTTTCTCTTTCCAGCCGAAATTACCGTGGGAAATATTATCTAGATAATAATAATAATATTCGTATTGACATAAGATCATCAGCGAGGCTACCATCGTCAATGTACAATCTTCAATTTTACACGGGACACGTTAGAAAGACAAATATATATATATGTATTTATTTGAGACAAGCAGTGCTCTTTATGATCAGAACAAAATTATAATCATTGCCTTGCAGTGCGCGCTGTGCAGAATAACACACAGTGTTGTCTGGATAAAATAAGAAAGATATCCTTATTGATATGATGAGGGCCGCTTCTGCCACAGTCGCTCTCCTCCTGCAGGTGTCCGCGGGTGACGAGAGGCCTCACAGCGCTCTATCTGCACTAGGGATGTAAAAAACTATGAATTTTCATGGCCGACCACCGAGCCTCATTAACCGGTTGAAACCGGTTAACCGCGTAGTTTGAAATATGCACGTTCTTTGAAATTACAGCCATTTCGAGCCACACATCTTTCATAAGTGCAGCTATACATTCTACGTGCTGGATCAGAGCCAAGACAGTGGAGCGAAACCCGTTACTGCCTCGGCACCTCTGCGCACAGAGAACTGCTTTTTTTCCGGCCTGCAAGTGGCACGTTCAGGATTGGCTAGAGAACATCCAACCAATCCGACCAGGTTATTTGACAAAGACACGGGCGCAGGACAGATATTTTTTGTTTTTACACCTTCATTTGAGACTCTGTCGTTGGAGGCCATTGTTTTTGGGACTTTTATCATTTATTTCGTTTAGACATATTTTCTAGTATATTATAGGTGAATATATTGGTTAAATATAATTCACTTTGTTATTTGTGTTGTGTGGGGGTTTTGATTCAGTTATGTTTTGTGTTTATTTCAGTGGCTATTACTGGCTAATATGTATTTGCTAACTTGTATTTAATTAGCTATTTTAAATATCTTTTCTCCGTTTGGGACACTAGTCATTCAATAATCTTTTTGTTCAAATAAACTTTATGCACACCTTTATTATCTATTATGTTATCTTCCTTTCAACACTAGTTTTTTAAGGTTCATATAATGCACTGTTTCTGTGTCTTGAGAAAGAATTATTTTTTTCATTAGCTGTAAGTGACAGCTACACGCCTGAGCCTTTGTGCTAAAACAGCCTCTGCAGTTCACACGTTTGACTGATATCCTTCTTTAAATGTAGATGCAATGTATTTCCAGATAGAAGCCCATCTTATGCGGAATGTTGCTGCAGCACGATGAAACCAATGGATAGACTTAAAACCGGCACATTCAGAATGCGTTAAAGACTCACTGTTTGCCGTATAATTATAATACATATTATTATATAACTTTATTTACAGACTCAAAGTCACTCCAAACAGACAAACAAAATAAAGAAGGGACCAAACATGTTTGTATAATTAAAATAATGTATTCATGTTTCAAAGCGACTTAAGCAACATCTCAAACCATAAACATTGCCAACATGGCCTAGAATAACGAGAAATTATAGAACAAACATCTCACAGAGATAACACAAACATATTCAGTGCGTAAAAGACGCCTTAACTCCTCTCAAAACATTAGTTTTTCGGCCTGCTACACTCCGACTCCGAGTGAGACAGTTACTTATTTTTATTCAAAAAAACAAGCATATCAACGTGCTCTGGGGTCAAGCGGGTACGCAGTCTGTTGACAACAAGGCCAGCAGCAGAGAAAACCCTCTCCGATGGAACAGAAGTCCCGGGGATGCACAGGTAGCGGTGTGCCACTTCAGCCAGCCTAGGAAAGCGCGTCTGGTTTTCCCTCCACCAATCCAGTGGATTGCTCTCGAGTGAAGGGCGAGGATCTTTAATATATGCATCCACTTCCATCTGTGGATTCGTGGTATCTGCTACGCTATAGTCGTCTCCCAGTAGCATACTAATAGCACTGGATGGCCCCGCTGTCACAGCATCATCGACTCCCCCTGTAGCACCATGCTGCTCGACCTCTTCCTCACCCATGTCCTCCGCAATAGCTGCATGGTCCTCCAGGTCATGAGCACAAAGTTCATTCAACTTATCAAACACAGCCTTTGTTTCATCTCTTGCTAAAAATGGGAGGTGTTTATGCCGAGGATCCAGGGCAGAAGCCATCAGCGCTGGCATGGCAACCAAGCGTGCTTTGTTGTCAACCTGTAAGATTATTACAGCTGAATTAATGTCTATAATTCATTCATCTATTAATTCATAAGCCTAACACTATACTATTTCAAATATTAGCCTATATATAACTTAGATGTATGCAGTTCTACCTATGCAGTGTACAATAAATTCATTATTGCCTAAAAAAAAGATTAATCAGAAAGACAACATTATAACATACCTCCATGCGCTCACTCAGTGATTGTCGAACTGTGGCCTTGAACTCCGCCACCCGAGGCCTATCGCAGGTCGTTTTGATCGTGTGTTTCTTTATGATGCTGAAGGTGATGGGGTAGATGTGAGAGATCGACACTGTCTTCTCAGATGACATGATGGTGGTTGCGCATTTCAGTTTTTCCAGGACAGGTTTTAAATCAGCTATTATTGCCCAGTATTCATCCCTGATCTCGAGCACTCTGGCGTCTTGCTGTTTTGTGACAGTGCGGTCGGACAAAACAGCGGTCACTGCCCATCGCTGTTCAAGCAGCCTCTCAAACATGTCCAACACTGAATTCCATCTAGTTTTGCAAGACTGGATGAGTTTGTGCTTGGGGAGCTGCATCTGAAGTAGTTTGGCCTCTAGTGCTTTGCAGGCTACAGTGCTGTGGTTGAAATGGCGAACCAGTTTACCGGCCGCCGATATAACTTTATAAACATAAGGCTTAAATGCATCATTAATTGCCAGTTGGAGTGTATGGGCGAAACACGCAACTGATAACCAGTCCACCCTTTCAGGGTTGTTGGCAGCCACTATATTGGCTGCGTTGTCGTGGACACATGCGATCACTTTCCCTGTAATTTCCCAAGCATCTACCGCACCGTTTAATGTTGCAGCCAGGTTATCAGCAGTGTGTCTCCCTGTCATGCTTCTTGTGAGGAGGACTGCTGATTTCACCTGCCAATCCTCGTCAGTCCAGTGACAGGTGACGGTCACGTAGCTCTCTGTCGTCAGTGCTGTCCAGCAGTCCGTAGTGATGGCTACAAATCTGGTACGGTGGAGGCGTGCTTTCAGCTCCGCTTTTTTCTTTGCAAAGCGCTCTTCAATGCGAGTAGTTATGGTCTGGCGAGTTGGGATTGTGTAGTTACATTCAATAAATTTAATTAACTCAACAAAACCCTCCCCATTTACAAACTCGAGAGGCAGCATGTCCTTTTCTATCATCTCGCATATCTTTTGGGTAATTGCTTCTGATCGCGGGTTGTCACATCTCTTACCGGCGCCTAGCATAGATAATACGGTGGGTTGGCTTTGGTTACCAGATGAGACCTGCGGCGGGTGCTTGGTTTTCAGGTGGTACATCATGGATGAGGTGCTGCTACTGTATTTAAGAACAGTAGCACATAAAGGCGCGTTCAGACCAAAAGCTTCAAAAAGCTTTTGACGCGCTTCAACTGACGCTGGGATAGTTTTGTCATTTTGGTGCTTGAAGCTTTTGACGCGAGTGACGCGCCTGACGCCGGTGGGAGGAGCTTCTCTGTTGCCTGTGGGAGGAGCTTCTCTGTTGCCAGTGGGAGGAGCTTCTCTGTTGTCTGTGGGAGGAGCTTCTCTGTTGCCGGTGGGAGGAGCTTCTCTGTTGTCTGTGGGAGGAGCTTCTCTGTTGTCTGTAGTCAGGACAGCGGTGGATTTTTCAATGAGCAGCGAGCCTTTATTTGTTATATAAAGCAAAATAACGTTGTTGTAGGGCTTCAACAAAACATGTTCTGGGTTCACCACAGACTGAGGCTGCAGTGTTTGCAGAGTTCCGTCATTTACTCCAGGAGCTGCGTACGGAGGAGTTTCGCTTTCAGCGGTACTTCCGCATGTCACTTGCCCAGTCTGAGTTCTCAAACCCCGGAGCTCGCCTCTCCCCGCCTCGCTCTCGCCTCTCCCCGGCTCTCGCTCGCCTCTCCCTGCCTCTCCCCGGCTCTCGCTCACCTCTCCCCGGCTCTCGCTCGCCTCTCCCTGCCTCTCCCTGCCTCTCCCTGCCTCTCCCTGCCTCTCCCCGGCTCTCGCTCGCCTCTCCCTGCCTCTCCCCGGCTCTCGCTCACCTCTCCCTGCCTCTCCCCGGCTCTCGCTCGCCTCTCCCCGCCTCTCCCTGCCTCTCTCTCGCCTCTCCCTGCCTCTCCCTGCCTCCCCCTGCCTCCCCCTGCCTCCCCCTGCCTCTCCCCGGCTCTCGCTCGCCTCTCCCTGCCTCTCCCTGCCTCTCCCTGCCTCTCCCTGCCTCTCCCTGCCTCTCACTGCCTCTCCCCGGCTCTCGCTCACCTCTCCCTGCCTCTCCCTGCCTCCCCCTGCCTCCCCCTGCCTCTCCCCGCCTCTCCCCGGCTCTCGCTCGCCTCTCCCTGCCTCTCCCCGCCTCTCCCTGCCTCTCTCTCGCCTCTCCCTGCCTCTCCCCGGCTCTCGCTCGCCTCTCCCTGCCTCTCCCCGGCTCTCGCTCGCCTCTCCCTGCCTCTCCCTGCCTCTCCCCGGCTCTCGCTCGCCTCTCCCTGCCTCTCCCAGGCTCTCGCCCGCCCGGAGCTGCCTTGCTCTGAGCCAGACTCATCGTCAGCCTGTTCTTATATTAAATAAACTACGTTTACTACACAGCATGTGTACAATGATTTTTGTTACTCAGAACGTTACTACTCATACAAATAATATTACTAATAACAATAATGACAATAAAACAGCAGCAGCAGATACATGACTTCTCTCCATGACAGAGACAGACCCTCTGCTGCTGCTGCTCCTCGTCTCCTGATTGGTTGAAGCCCGCGTCAAAGCTTCAAAAGCTCAGCTTTGCTCAACTTCGGCGTCAAAGGGATTGTTGTGATACGCGAGCGTTTCGCGCGTCAAAAGCTTCAAGTGAGCGCGTAGTACGCGCAACTCTTGAAGCTTTTGACGCGCGTCAAGTGACGCCGGGGCTCTCGGCTTCACCTGACGCGCTTCACCATTCACTTTCAATGGAAACCTGACGCTTTTGACGCCGAAGTTAAGTCCGGTGTGAACGCCCCTTAAGTTGCAGCTGACATCTGTCTCGTTCTTTTTAGTGAAATGGTCCCACACACTGCTCGTTTTTGCACGCTTCATCTTGTTGCCCGGCTTGCTAACCTGTTTGTTGCCGCTTTGTGGTATCACTAGCAAACCTCGTAAGCGCGCTCCAGTGACCCCACTGGAGCGGCGCGCGCTTACAGCCTGTGTGACCTTGCATCATTTGTTTTATTGATTTATTAAATACAATCAGGCGAGGGATCACTCGTTCAAACAATTATCGTGGAATTAATATGGCAAACGTAGTCCACTCCGCTGTCTATAGTAGCGTAACCCCCCCTCCCCATTTTCTATTTTTAACCGACAGCTTTGACCGGTTAACGCTGTGACGGTCAACCACCGGTTAACCGGTCACCGATTTACATCCCTAATCTGCACTCTGCCTTGATAGTTAGTAAGTAAGTTAGTAAGTAAGTTTTTATTTATATACCGCCTTTTCACTGCAGATCTGAGTCTCAAAGCGGTTTACAATTGTTAATTTTGGGCATTTGTCTCTCACTCCACACAGAGATGGGAGCGGGGTCGCCGGTACAGGAGGCACATGCCAGAACTATTGGACATATTTTTAGTGGTAGGGGAAACCGGAGTACCCGGAGGAAACCTACGCAGACACGGGGAGAACATGCAAACTCCACTCAGAAAGGCCCTGGCCCGACCGGGATTCGAACCCAGGACCTTCTTGCTGAGAGGCGAGAGTGCTATCCACTCAGCCACCGTGCCGATAGTTCATCTAATTGTTCTATTTTATTGCGATATTGTATTCTGCTTTATTGCCTTCTTGTATGTATAAATATAATAATGTAATTGATGATGAATGAAAAGGCAGAATGGAGCGACACAGACACCTGCGTATGGCATTACGCGGGTCATGTGCGTGTTTATAGCATTTCATTGTGTTTTTTCAATACATTTTTGTGAAATTTATTTTCCGTTTCGATTTTTTTTTAGTCTTCATGACTCCAAATTTTTTATATAATTGATATGACAGCTCTAAAATATAGATATTCTAAAACCCCAGGTTGTACTGAAAAAACAAAGTCTACTGCTTGACTCTGCATCAAAAAATGACTCTTTTATGAGCAATTATACACAAAGAAAACCAGGCGAGGAAGGTTCCCCAAAATGACCCTAGACCTTGGAGGGTTAAAGACTAGTTTGAACACAGAGCATTCAGGCAGAAGGGGCGGGGGGACACTGCATATATGGAGTTTGAAACACTCACAGGTCTTTCTCCTGCTCCTCATCGCTCTGTGTGAGATCAAGCACCTCCTCCTCCTCCTCCTGAGGGAGCTGCCCTCCTCTCTCCACAGCCTCCAGTCGTTCAGCCAGAGCCACACCCTCCTCCGTCAGTGCGTATCTGAGCAGACACAAAGCACCGGATTTTAAAGAGATATATACTTTCATTCGTCACATTAAACTCCATTCAGTCTAAATGTACATTTTTATAGTGGTAGGGGAAACCGGAGCACCCGGAGGAAACCAAGGCAGGCATCCCGTTCCAACCAGGATTCAAACCCAGGACCTTAGTAAGAACTAAGAAACAAGAGTGCTAACCACTGTGGGTGGTACCTGGGTGTGGTCTGGGTGGTACCTGTGTGGGACCTGGGTGGTACCTGTGTGGTACCTGGGTGGTACCTGTGTGGGACCTGGGTGGTACCTGTGTGGGACCTGGGTGGTACCTGTGTGGGACCTGGGTGGGACCTGTGTGGGACCTGGGTGGTACCTGTGTGGGACCTGGGTGGTACCTGTGTGGGACCTGGGTGTGGTGTGTGTGGTACCTGGGTGGTACCTGTGTGGGGTCTGGGTGGTACCTGTGTGGGACCTGGGTGGTACCTGTGTGGGACCTGGGTGGTACCTGGGTGTGGTCTGGGTGGTACCTGTGTGGGACCTGGGTGGGACCTGTGTGGTACCTGGGTGTGGTGTGTGTGGTACCTGGGTGGTACCTGTGTGGGGTCTGGGTGGTACCTGTGTGGTACCTGGGTGGTACCTGTGTGGGACCTGGGTGGTACCTGTGTGGTACCTGGGTGGTACCTGTGTGGTACCTGGGTGGTACCTGTGTGGGACCTGGGTGGTACCTGTGTGGGACCTGGGTGGTACCTGTGTGGGACCTGGGTGGTACCTGTGTGGGACCTGGGTGGTACCTGTGTGGGACCTGGGTGGTACCTGTGTGGGACCTGGTGTGGTACCTGTGTGGGACCTGGGTGGTACCTGTGTGGGACTTGGGTGGTACCTGTGTGGGACCTGGGTGGTACCTGTGTGGTACCTGGGTGGTACCTGTGTGGGACCTGGGTGGTACCTGTGTGGGACCTGGGTGGTACCTGTGTGGTACCTGGGTGGTACCTGTGTGGGACCTGGGTGGTACCTGTGTGGTACCTGGGTGGTACCTGTGTGGGACCTGGGTGGTACCTGTGTGGGACCTGGATGGTACCTGTGTGGGACCTGGGTGGTACCTGTGTGGGACCTGGGTGGTACCTGTGTGGTACCTGGGTGGTACCTGTGTGGGGTCTGGGTGGTACCTGGGTGGGACCTGGGTGGTACCTGTGTGGGGTCTGGGTGGTACCTGGGTGGGACCTGGGTGGTACCTGTGTGGGACCTGGGTGGTACCTGTGTGGGACCTGGGTGTGGTGTGTGTGGTACCTGTGTGGGACCTGGGTGTGGTGTGTGTGGTACCTGGGTGGGGTCTGGGTGGTACCTGGGTGGGGTCTGGGTGGTACCTGGGTGGGACCTGGGTGGTACCTGTGTGGGACCTGGGTGGTACCTGTGTGGGACCTGGGTGTGGTGTGTGTGGTACCTGTGTGGGACCTGGGTGTGGTGTGTGTGGTACCTGGGTGGGGTCTGGGTGGTACCTGGGTGGGGTCTGGGTGGTACCTGGGTGGGACCTGGGTGGTACCTGTGTGGTACCTGGGTGGGTTGTGTGTCTTGAGGAGCAGGTTCTTCTGGATCAGAGTGCTGACAGAGGACCAGGCCGTGTACCGACTGCCCAGGTCCGGCTGCAGAGAGACACACTGTGAGTCTGTGTGTGTGTGTGTGTGTGTTTAAGAAGTTAAAGTTGTGTACCACAGAGAAAGACTTGTCACACAGCGGCTGAGCCTCAGTCTGCAGCTCCAGTTTGAACATGTAACCTTTACTGCCCTCCACCTGCAACACACACACACACACAGGTGACACACACACACAAACATATGTGACACACACACACACACACACACACACACACACACACACAGACGTTGGTGTCTGTGTGGTTCCAGAGCTGACCTGTGTGTGTCTGTACAGAGTCAGGAGCACTGCGTATCCTCCTGATCGCTGCTGAGGAACATACTGCCTCTTCCTCCTCCCACCTCCACCTTCTCCTCCTCCACCTGGTGCTGCTCCACCTCCTGCTCCTCCTCCTACACCTTCTCCACCTCCTGCTGCTCCACCTCCTCCTCTAGAGTTGCCATGAGAGGAGGCATTTTTCTGGGAAAGACAGATGCAGTTCAAAAATGGCGGCAGAGTGTCCTGGAAACAGCAGTGAGTCCTGAGAGTGTCTCCAACTGTTGTTTTGTGTTTTACAATCGTTATTTTTCTACCTGTGAATGTTGCTGCAGAACAGTCTGACAAATGCTAATAAAGCCCTCAGAATTTCACTCTGAACCAGAGCAGAGAAACTGTACAGACAGTCAGTCAGACGGAGGGACAAAGAGTCAGTCAGTCAGACAGACAGAGGGACAAAGAGTCAGTCAGTCAGACAGACAGAGGGACAAAGAGTCAGACAGACAGACAGACAGACAGACAGACAGACAGACACAGACAGAGACAGACAGACAGACAAAGAGTCAGTCAGTCAGACAGACGGAGGGACAAAGAGTCAGACAGACAGACAGACAGACAGACAGACAAACACAGACAGAGACAGACAGACAGACAAAGAGTCAGTCAGTCAGACAGACTGAGGGACAAAGAGTCAGACAGACAGACAGACAGACAGACAGACAGACAGACAGACAAAGAGTCAGTCAGTCAGACAGACGGAGGGACAAAGAGTCAGACAGACAGACAGACAGACAGACAGACCTTCTTGGCTGGTGCCAGGTTGTTGTAGTCAAATCGAACAGCAGGGGGAGCTGTTTCAGGCAAAGTGTGAATTGAGGCGTTTTCTCCTGAAAATAATGAAAAGAAAAACATCAAGTTGCACCACAACAACAGAGAACCATGTAGACAACCATGTAGACTACCATGTAGACTACCATGTAGGCAACCATGTCAAAAACTTCATCTAGTGCTGCAGAAGAACCATGTGGACAAAAAGGTGTTTTTTTTACCTCTGAATGTCAGCGAGAGAGACCAGAGAGAGACCAGAGAGAGACCAGAGAGAGACCAGAGAGAGACCAGAGAGAGACCAGAGAGAGACCAGAGAGAGACCAGAGAGAGAGACCAGAGAGAGACCAGAGAGAGAGACCAGAGAGAGACCAGAGAGAGAGAGCTGAGAGAGACCAGAGAGAGACCAGAGAGAGTCCAGAGAGAGACCAGAGAAAGACCAGGGAGAGACCAGAGAGAGACCAGAGAGAGACCAGAGAGAGACCAGAGAGAGACCAGAGAGAGACCAGAGAGAGACCAGAGAGACCAAAGACAGAGTCACATTTCTGTCAGAAATAAACATGTGACTTTAGTTGAGTTAACACTAATCACACAGTAGTGGCCCACATGGTAGTGGCCCACATGGTAGTGGCCCACATGGTAGTGGCCCACATGGTACCGCACCGTGCTGCCTGTAGAAGCGCTGCAGCCTCAGGTCCAGCACTTTGCAGATGCCGTCTCCGAAGTGCTGCAGGATCTTGGCTTCTTTGGCGTTCTTCAGCGGCAGAGGGTATTTGTTCAGGGACTTAATGGCCTGAAAGACAACACCGTCTTAAAGTTAAGCTTATGGTACATGTGCGTGTCCTCTGCATTTGACCCATCCTTCACAAGCCTGGGTCAAGTGCAGTATCAATAGAACCCTGTATATTCAGGAGCACACATTTACAGCTGTATGTTTACATCTGTACTTTAGCAGCATGAGGGGGAGGGGTCAAATCTAAAAACATAAAAGCTGGTTGGGGTCAAAAGTATTATTAGACATCAACTTAAATGTATTATTTTCTGGTTTGTTTGGATTCAACCTACCCTGGTCTTATCACACCATTGTACTATTTCATTCCATACTAAGGTCTGGATCTGCTCCATTGGCTCCGTTAACAGGTGGGAGGGGCTAACTCCTTTTGCAGACTGAAACCATTAGATCTGAGTTTATGTGAGGTATGTAACGAGCCCGAGTGAGTTGTTCGCATTTAGCATTTAGCCTAGCTTTAGCATTTAGCCTAGCTTTAGCATTTAGCCTAGCTTTAGCATCTCCTTTGCCACTAACGGAGCCCGTGGGGAGTAGCGCCACAACATCTTTGCTTCAGTGACATTTACTAAACATTCCTCTTGCTCCGGCTTCAGTTTCTTGATATTTGGATTGAACCAGAACAGATTATTTTACTATCGCATTCTCCACGGTCCAGAGTTTACACATGGTAAGACCAGACGTACATGTAGGAAATGACCATGGACCAGAGTTTACACATGGTAAGACCAGACGTACATGTAGGAAATGATCATGGACCAGAGTTTACACATGGTAAGACCAGACGTACATGTAGGACATGATCATGGACCAGAGTTTACACATAAGACCAGGTAGATCAGTGTTTCCCACACATAGACTAATCTGTGGCGCACCGCCACAGATTAGAGACCGCCCGCCACAAATTGCGTTTCGTATTATTATATATATATTTTTTTTGTTACGCTATTTAAAACATGCATCGTCTAGTGCCGCCGCAGCGGTCAATTTGACAGCGGGGAGGGGGGTTTAAAATGTGGCGGCCCTTCGTAACTCTCACTCAAGCTACGCGTCTCTCCCACATACAGAGACCTACACACACACAGCCCCTCCCCTTCGTGCACACCGCGTGTCTCCGTCTCCATCAGCGATCATCGCTGTAAGCAGCTGTGTCTATTCATTTACCGCGGTAAAGTGGCCCGCATCTTTCAGCTCTATGAACATGCGGCCCGCATCGGGAAAAGACGGTGCGCGTTTTGTTGAGAACTTACGGTAACAGCGGAACGTCCTTTCGGAGTCACCCATTTTTATCGAACAGAAAGCGCGCTGGGGTCAGGGAGACACGTTTTTGTGATTAAAACCTTATAGAGATGCCACCCGGCACACATAGCACCAGCCCCCTACGATTCCTCCTGCAGATTGTGAGTCCTCAGGAGGATAGCCACTCTATTGTTTACATGTATAAAGTACACAATTTGGTCCGCTAGTGCAATTTTCAAGTATTGTAACTATTTACTGGAATAAGGTGTGCGACTAATTTCACTTGACTCATGACCTTATTATTGCCCTCTGCCACTGTACCAAAGACCAGAAACTTTTACTGTAGAAATATTGAGAAATATTGAGGTAAAGTAGCCATTTTGGTCCAAAATACCTCCAAAATAGTCAAAACATGTCACTTTTGATCTACTGTAACTTTTTACTGTAAAAAGGTGTGCGACTAATTTCACTGGATTCATGACCTCAAGATTGTCCTCTACCACTGTACCAAAGACCAGACACTTTTACTGTAGAAATATTGAGAAATATTGATTTATAGTAGCCATTTTGGTCCAAAATAGCCTAAAAATTGTCAAAACATGTCACTTTTGATCTGCTGTAACTTATTACTGTAAAAAGGTGTGCGACTAATTTCACTGGATTCATGGCCTCAAGATTGTCCTCTACCACTGTACCACTGTACCCCCCCCCCCCCCCCCCCCCCCGCCGACGACCACCACACATTGCCTTCAAACCTGTGGGAAACACTGTAGATTCATTGTATTTGCAGCCTGATAGTTTAATAACTTGTAAATACATATATAGAAGTTAGAACTGTTACTGTTCTGACAATCATTTCAGGGGCCTCTCAGATTGGCCTTGAGGGCCAGATTTGGCCCTAAGGCGTGAGTTTGGCTGTTATAGACTCTGTTCTCAGGCCTAAAAACAATAACAACAATAATAATAAGATGAAGACATGATGACAAACTTATCATAAATGGAATCATGACAGACGTTCATGAACATGTCGTTAGGGTGAGATTTGTCATTCACATCAACATCAACTTTATTAAAGTTTTTCAATCCAGGTTGTCGGCCCCTGGACAGGTCTGGTGAACTAAATGTTTGGACACCCCTGCTTTAAATCATTATTTGTCATTTCATCATATTTGTGTGTGTTCGGTCTCTTCTATATCGCCCATGGTTTATGTGTGTGTGGTATATATATAATTATATATATATATATATATATATATATATATATTATATTACCAGACAAGACCCAAGGTGTCGGTTGTGCAAAGAGGCACCTGAGACGATCCAACACATAACTGCAGGGTGCAAGATGCTGGCAGGGAAGGCCTACATGGAACGCCATAACCAAGTGGCTGGCATAGTGTACAGAAACATCTGTGGAGAGTATGGGCTGGAAACCCCAAGGTCTAAGTGGGAAACTCCTCCAAAGGTGGTGGAAAATGAGCGTGCGAAGATCCTGTGGGACTTCCAGATACAGACCGACCGAATGGTAATGGCAAACCAACCTGACATCGTGGTGGTAGACAAAGGGCAGAGGACAGCCGTGGTGGTGGACGTGGCAATTCCAAGCGATGGTAACATCCGGAAAAAAGAACATGAAAAGCTTGAGAAATACCAAGGTCTCAGAGAGGAGCTGGAGAGGGCCTGGAGGGTAAAGGTGACAGTAGTGCCCGTGGTGATCGGTGCACTCGGGGCAGTGACCCCGAAGCTAGATGAGTGGTTACAGCGGATCCCCGGAACAACCTCGGACATCTCGGTCCAGAAATGTGCAGTGCTAGGAACAGCAAAGATACTGCGCAGAACCCTCAAGCTCCCTGGCCTCTGGTAGAGGACCCGAGCTTAGAGAGGGATAACCGCCCGCGGAGGGCCAAAGGTGAGTGGACAATTTTATTATATATATATATGGTAGACAATAATATCGTCAAAGTCAATTTGAAGATATGCTTTTTCGTATTGTCGTCCTTTTTATTTTCCAATACATATTACAGTTAGAGAAGGACAGATGCCCGTTGGTCTGATGAGTGCCTAAAAAGCCAATCACTGCTTCATTTGTACGCTTCAGTAAATATTGAGCCTTTTTGGATGTGTTCTTTCTGTGTTTCTTGAATCTGATATTTAATGTTAATTTAAGATGTGTGAAGCACTTCAGAAAATAAAAAGCTTCTATTTAGATCTACACTGTCTCTACCTATACATGCCCTGGCAGCAAAACACTGCAGATCCTTGTGTGTAAAAATGATTGTCTTTAAAGATATCGTGACAATATCGTTATCGCCCGCCCCTAGTGTGTGTTTTACTTTACATTCATCTAGTTCATGTGTGTAATTTATAGAAAACAAACATATATGAAAAGTTAAAAATATAAGGAAGAAAGTGTCAGAGAGATTCAGCCCTGGTTTGGATAAACTATGGTCATGTGTTGGACTCGGGGCTCAAGACCCAAAACCCCAAACTCAGACCCAGACCTTCTGGTAGGTGAAGTGGATCTTCTGGCCCTTCTCCTTGGCCTCGTCGCGGAGCTCCGTGAGCCACTGGAGGAAGAGGGGGTTGGGGCAGGACGGTAGGACCCTCTTCCTCCCCAGGCGGACGGGTGGCGGCGCGGGCATCTGTGGGGGACGAGTCCAGAGAGACACAGTGAGGTGTTTCAGAACTCATGATGAAAAAACAGATCGAGGACGTGGGAAACATTCTGATGTCAGAGAGAAGAGGATCTACAGCTGTGCAGCAGGTAAAACCATCTGTCCAACCTCCAGAAGAACCTGTCCCCTTTATCTACTACAGAAGGACTAAAGACTAAAGCTGGGGTACCTACATTTCTAACCACAACAAAGGAACCAGCTCCATGCAGTGACATCCATGTCTCTGGTCCTGGCTCTACACCAGCTGCTTCCATCACATCTTTAAATCAGCAAAGAGGGACCCCAAAAGTACTGTCCAGCAGCTGTAATTCTGCTCACGTTACATTCTGCTCACGTTACATCCTGCTCACGTTACATCCTGCTCACGTTACATCCAGCTCACGTTACATCCAGCTCACGTTACATCCTGCTCACGTTACATCCTGCTCACGTTACATCCAGCTCACGTTACATTCTGCTCACGTTACATCCAGCTCACGTTACATCCAGCTCACGTTACATTCTGCTCACGTTACATCCAGCTCACGTTACATCCAGCTCACGTTACATCCTGCTCACGTTACATCCAGCTCACGTTACATCCTGCTCACGTTACATCCTGCTCACGTTACATCCTGCTCACGTTACATCCTGCTCACGTTACATTCTGCTCACGTTACATTCTGCTCACGTTACATTCTGCTCACGTTACATTCTGCTCACGTTACATCCAGCTCACGTTACATCCAGCTCACGTTACATTCTGCTCACGTTACATTCTGCTCACGTTACATCCTGCTCACGTTACATCCTGCTCACGTTACATCCTGCTCACGTTACATTCAGCTCACGTTACATTCTGCTCACGTTACATCCAGCTCACGTTACATTCTGCTCACGTTACATTCTGCTCACGTTACATCCTGCTCACGTTACATTCTGCTCACGTTACATCCAGCTCACGTTACATTCTGCTCACGTTACATTCTGCTCACGTTACATCCAGCTCACGTTACATTCTGCTCACGTTACATCCTGCTCACGTTACATTCTGCTCACGTTACATCCAGCTCACGTTACATTCTGCTCACGTTACATTCTGCTCACGTTACATTCTGCTCACGTTACATCCAGCTCACGTTACATCCTGCTCACGTTACATCCAGCTCACGTTACATCCTGCTCACGTTACAGCCAGCTCACGTTACATCCTGCTCACGTTACATCCAGCTCACGTTACATCCTGCTCACGTTACATCCAGCTCACGTTACATCCTGCTCACGTTACATTCTGCTCACGTTACATCCTGCTCACGTTACATCCTGCTCACGTTACATTCTGCTCACGTTACATCCTGCTCACGTTACATCCTGCTCACGTTACATCCTGCTCACGTTACATCCTGCTCACGTTACATTCTGCTCACGTTACATTCTGCTCACGTTACATTCTGCTCACGTTACATTCTGCTCACGTTACATTCTGCTCACGTTACATTCTGCTCACGTTACATCCAGCTCACGTTACATTCTGCTCACGTTACATTCTGCTCACGTTACATCCTGCTCACGTTACATCCTGCTCACGTTACATCCTGCTCACGTTACATTCTGCTCACGTTACATTCTGCTCACGTTACATCCAGCTCACGTTACATCCTGCTCACGTTACATCCAGCTCACGTTACATCCTGCTCACGTTACATTCTGCTCACGTTACATCCTTGCTCACGTTACATCCTGCTCACGTTACATCCTGCTCACGTTACATCCTGCTCACGTTACATCCAGCTCACGTTACATCCTGCTCACGTTACATCCTGCTCACGTTACATCCAGCTCACGTTACATCCAGCTCACGTTACATCCTGCTCACGTTACATTCTGCTCACGTTACATCCTGCTCACGTTACATCCAGCTCACGTTACATTCTGCTCACGTTACATTCTGCTCACGTTACATCCTGCTCACGTTACATCCTGCTCACGTTACATCCAGCTCACGTTACATTCTGCTCACGTTACATCCTGCTCACGTTACATCCAGCTCACGTTACATCCAGCTCACGTTACATCCTGCTCACGTTACATTCTGCTCACGTTACATCCAGCTCACGTTACATTCTGCTCACGTTACATCCAGCTCACGTTACATCCAGCTCACGTTACATTCTGCTCACGTTACATCCAGCTCACGTTACATTCTGCTCACGTTACATCCAGCTCACGTTACATTCTGCTCACGTTACATCCTGCTCACGTTACATTCTGCTCACGTTACATTCTGCTCACGTTACATTCTGCTCACGTTACATCCAGCTCACGTTACATCCAGCTCACGTTACATTCTGCTCACGTTACATCCAGCTCACGTTACATCCAGCTCACGTTACATTCTGCTCACGTTACATTCTGCTCACGTTACATTCTGCTCACGTTACATTCTGCTCACGTTACATCCAGCTCACGTTACATCCAGCTCACGTTACATCCAGCTCACGTTACATCCAGCTCACGTTACATTCTGCTCACGTTACATTCTGCTCACGTTACATTCTGCTCACGTTACATTCTGCTCACGTTACATTCTGCTCACGTTACATCCAGCTCACGTTACATCCTGCTCACGTTACATCCTGCTCACGTTACATCCTGCTCACGTTACATCCTGCTCACGTTACATCCTGCTCACGTTACATTCTGCTCACGTTACATTCTGCTCACGTTACATTCTGCTCACGTTACATCCAGCTCACGTTACATCCTGCTCACGTTACATTCTGCTCACGTTACATTCTGCTCACGTTACATTCTGCTCACGTTACATCCAGCTCACGTTACATTCTGCTCACGTTACATCCAGCTCACGTTACATTCTGCTCACGTTACATCCAGCTCACGTTACATTCTGCTCACGTTACATCCAGCTCACGTTACATTCTGCTCACGTTACCATTCTGCTCACGTTACATCCTGCTCACGTTACATCCAGCTCACGTTACATCCAGCTCACGTTACATTCTGCTCACGTTACATCCAGCTCACGTTACATTCTGCTCACGTTACATCCTGCTCACGTTACATTCTGCTCACGTTACATCCAGCTCACGTTACATTCTGCTCACGTTACATTCTGCTCACGTTACATCCAGCTCACGTTACATCCTGCTCACGTTACATTCTGCTCACGTTACATCCAGCTCACGTTACATTCTGCTCACGTTACATCCAGCTCACGTTACATCCTGCTCACGTTACATCCAGCTCACGTTACATCCTGCTCACGTTACATCCAGCTCACGTTACATTCTGCTCACGTTACATCCTGCTCACGTTACATCCTGCTCACGTTACATCCAGCTCACGTTACATTCTGCTCACGTTACATTCTGCTCACGTTACATCCAGCTCACGTTACATCCTGCTCACGTTACATTCTGCTCACGTTACATCCAGCTCACGTTACATCCTGCTCACGTTACATCCAGCTCACGTTACATCCTGCTCACGTTACATTCTGCTCACGTTACATCCTGCTCACGTTACATCCTGCTCACGTTACATCCTGCTCACGTTACATCCTGCTCACGTTCTGCTCTACATCCTGCTCACGTTACATCCTGCTCACGTTACATTCTGCTCACGTTACATTCTGCTCACGTTACATTCTGCTCACGTTACATTCTGCTCACGTTACATTCTGCTCACGTTACATTCTGCTCACGTTACATTCTGCTCACGTTACATCCAGCTCACGTTACATTCTGCTCACGTTACATTCTGCTCACGTTACATCCTGCTCACGTTACATCCTGCTCACGTTACATCCTGCTCACGTTACATTCTGCTCACGTTACATCCTGCTCACGTTACATCCTGCTCACGTTACATTCTGCTCACGTTACATTCTGCTCACGTTACATTCTGCTCACGTTACATCCAGCTCACGTTACATCCTGCTCACGTTACATCCTGCTCACGTTACATTCTGCTCACGTTACATTCTGCTCACGTTACATTCTGCTCACGTTACATCCAGCTCACGTTACATTCTGCTCACGTTACATCCAGCTCACGTTACATTCTGCTCACGTTACATTCTGCTCACGTTACATTCTGCTCACGTTACATCCTGCTCACGTTACATCCAGCTCACGTTACATCCTGCTCACGTTACATCCTGCTCACGTTACATTCTGCTCACGTTACATTCTGCTCACGTTACATCCAGCTCACGTTACATCCTGCTCACGTTACATTCTGCTCACGTTACATCCAGCTCACGTTACATCCAGCTCACGTTACATTCTGCTCACGTTACATTCTGCTCACGTTACATCCTGCTCACGTTACATCCAGCTCACGTTACATTCTGCTCACGTTACATCCTGCTCACGTTACATCCAGCTCACGTTACATCCTGCTCACGTTACATTCTGCTCACGTTACATCCAGCTCACGTTACATTCTGCTCACGTTACATCCTGCTCACGTTACATCCAGCTCACGTTACATTCTGCTCACGTTACATCCAGCTCACGTTACATCCTGCTCACGTTACATTCTGCTCACGTTACATCCAGCTCACGTTACATCCTGCTCACGTTACATCCAGCTCACGTTACATTCTGCTCACGTTACATCCAGCTCACGTTACATTCTGCTCACGTTACATCCAGCTCACGTTACATTCTGCTCACGTTACATTCTGCTCACGTTACATTCTGCTCACGTTACATCCTGCTCACGTTACATTCTGCTCACGTTACATTCTGCTCACGTTACATTCTGCTCACGTTACATTCTGCTCACGTTACATCCAGCTCACGTTACATCCAGCTCACGTTACATCCAGCTCACGTTACATCCAGCTCACGTTACATCCTGCTCACGTTACATTCTGCTCACGTTACATTCTGCTCACGTTACATTCTGCTCACGTTACATTCTGCTCACGTTACATCCAGCTCACGTTACATCCAGCTCACGTTACATCCAGCTCACGTTACATTCTGCTCACGTTACATCCTGCTCACGTTACATCCTGCTCACGTTACATCCAGCTCACGTTACATCCAGCTCACGTTACATCCTGCTCACGTTACATCCTGCTCACGTTACATCCAGCTCACGTTACATCCAGCTCACGTTACATTCTGCTCACGTTACATCCAGCTCACGTTACATCCTGCTCACGTTACATCCTGCTCACGTTACATCCTGCTCACGTTACATTCTGCTCACGTTACATTCTGCTCACGTTACATCCAGCTCACGTTACATCCAGCTCACGTTACATTCTGCTCACGTTACATCCTGCTCACGTTACATTCTGCTCACGTTACATCCTGCTCACGTTACATCCTGCTCACGTTACATTCTGCTCACGTTACATCCTGCTCACGTTACATCCTGCTCACGTTACATCCTGCTCACGTTACATCCTGCTCACGTTACATCCTGCTCACGTTACATTCTGCTCACGTTACATCCAGCTCACGTTACATCCAGCTCACGTTACATTCTGCTCACGTTACATCCAGCTCACGTTACATCCTGCTCACGTTACATTCTGCTCACGTTACATTCTGCTCACGTTACATCCAGCTCACGTTACATTCTGCTCACGTTACATCCAGCTCACGTTACATTCTGCTCACGTTACATTCTGCTCACGTTACATCCAGCTCACGTTACATTCTGCTCACGTTACATTCTGCTCACGTTACATCCTTCACGCATCACGTTACATTCTGCTCACGTTACATCCAGCTCACGTTACATCCTGCATCACTCACGTTACATTCTGCTCACGTTACATCCAGCTCACGTTACATTCTGCTCACGTTACATTCTGCTCACGTTACATTCTGCTCACGTTACATCCAGCTCACGTTACATCCAGCTCACGTTACATCCAGCTCACGTTACATCCAGCTCACGTTACATTCTGCTCACGTTACATTCTGCTCACGTTACATCCTGCTCACGTTACATCCAGCTCACGTTACATCCAGCTCACGTTACATCCAGCTCACGTTACATCCAGCTCACGTTACATCCTGCTCACGTTACATTCTGCTCACGTTACATCCAGCTCACGTTACATCCAGCTCACGTTACATCCAGCTCACGTTACATCCAGCTCACGTTACATCCAGCTCACGTTACATCCAGCTCACGTTACATCCAGCTCACGTTACATCCAGCTCACGTTACATCCAGCTCACGTTACATCCAGCTCACGTTACATCCAGCTCACGTTACATCCAGCTCACGTTACATCCAGCTCACGTTACATCCAGCTCACGTTACATCCAGCTCACGTTACATCCTGCTCATGGTGCAGTTATCTGTCATATATGTCCGTGATAAATCTATAAACTGATGGTTCTCATCAGCTCTGACAAACGCACACTTCTGGATTCTCTTTGTTTCCGGTGTATCAGAAACAAACACTGAAAACCAGCAGAACCCGGGGTTCGGAGCTCAGCTCAGTCATCATCATAGATCCATGGCTTGGTTCCGTTAGAGCCAGAACATGTAGACCCACAGTTAAAGGTTTCCCTCCTGTTGTTCCTACACGTTAGTGTTTTACAGCCCGTGGAAGTGGCTAACATGTGTTCATACACTCAAGCTAGCTCACATGATATGTTAGCTAACTACAAACCCACATGGTCTTCCAGATCCACATGGTGTTCCAGAGCCACATGGTGTTCCAGAGCACAGCTGTGAGTGGATTAAAGTAGTAGATACATGTGTAAAACACTGGAACACTCACCTCACAGAGATACCTCACAGAGATACTGCACACATGTGGCGCGAGGCTTTCAAAACAACAGACACGTGACCAGAACAAAGATGGCGACCAGGAAGTACGCACCACCGTCACCTAGCAACGGACCCAACATGATCATGTGATGATTTATGCTGTTTGAATATAACATACATCCAACTAAATATGTCTGCACTAGGACAGGTCTGTCACGGAGACAGATGTCTGTGACTCTGGTCTGTGACTCTGGTCTGTGACTCTGGTCTGTGACTCTGGTCTGTGAGTCTGGTCTCTGACTCTGGTCTGAGACTCTGGTCTGTGACTCTGGTCTGTGACTCTGGTCTGTGACTTTGGTCTGTGACTCTGGTCTGTGACTCTGGTCTGTGACTCTGGTCTGAGACTCTGGTCTGTGACTCTGGTCTGTGACTCTGGTCTGTGACTCTGGTCTGTGACTCTGGTCTGTGACTCTGGTCTGTGACTCTGGTCTGTGACTCTGGTCTGTGACTCTGGTCTGTGAGTCTGGTCTGTGATTCTGGTCTGTGACTCTGGTCTGTGACTCTGGTCTGTGAGTCTGGTCTGTGACTCTGGTCTGTGACTCTGGTCTGTGACTCTGGTCTGAGACTCTGGTCTGTGAGTCTGGTCTGAGACTCTGGTCTGTGAGTCTGGTCTGAGACTCTGGTCTGTGAGTCTGGTCTGTGAGTCTGGTCTCTGACTCTGGTCTGTGACTCTGGTCTGAGACTCTGGTCTGTGAGTCTGGTCTGAGACTCTGGTCTGTGAGTCTGGTCTGTGAGTCTGGTCTCTGACTCTGGTCTGTGACTCTGGTCTGAGACTCTGGTCTGTGAGTCTGGTCTGAGACTCTGGTCTGTGAGTCTGGTCTGTGAGTCTGGTCTCTGACTCTGGTCTGTGACTCTGGTCTGAGACTCTGGTCTGTGAGTCTGGTCTGTGAGTCTGGTCTGTGACTCTGGTCTGAGACTCTGGTCTGTGACTCTGGTCTGTGACTCTGGTCTGAGACTCTGGTCTGTGAGTCTGGTCTGTGAGTCTGGTCTCTGACTCTGGTCTGAGACTCTGGTCTGTGACTCTGGTCTGTGACTCTGGTCTGAGACTCTGGTCTGTGAGTCTGGTCTGTGAGTCTGGTCTCTGACTCTGGTCTGAGACTCTGGTCTGTGACTCTGGTCTGTGACTCTGGTCTGAGACTCTGGTCTGTGAGTCTGGTCTGAGACTCTGGTCTGTGAGTCTGGTCTGAGACTCTGGTCTGTGAGTCTGGTCTGTGAGTCTGGTCTCTGACTCTGGTCTGTGACTCTGGTCTGAGACTCTGGTCTGTGAGTCTGGTCTGAGACTCTGGTCTGTGAGTCTGGTCTGTGAGTCTGGTCTCTGACTCTGGTCTGTGACTCTGGTCTGTGACTCTGGTCTGAGACTCTGGTCTGTGACTCTGGTCTGTGACTCTGGTCTGTGACTCTGGTCTGTGATTCTGGTCTGTGACTCTGGTCTGAGACTCTGGTCTCTGACTCTGGTTGTGACTCTGGTCTGTGACTCTGGTCTGTGACTCTGGTCTGTGACTCTGGTCTGTGATTCTGGTCTGTGACTCTGGTCTGTGACTCTGGTCTGTGACTCTGGTCTGTGATTCTGGTCTGTGACTCTGGTCTGAGACTCTGGTCTGTGACTCTGGTCTGAGACTCTGGTCTGTGATTCTGGTCTGTGACTCTGGTCTGAGACTCTGGTCTGTGACTCTGGTCTGTGAGTCTGGTCTCTGACTCTGGTCTGTGAGTCTGGTCTGTGACTCTGGTCTGTGACTCTGGTCTGAGACTCTGGTCTGAGACTCTGGTCTGAGACTCTGGTCTGTGACTCTGGTCTGAGACTCTGGTCTGAGACTCTGGTCTGAGACTCTGGTCTGTGACTCTGGTCTGAGACTCTGGTCTGTGACTCTGGTCTGTGACTCTGGTCTGTGAGTCTGGTCTGTGACTCTGGTCTGTGACTCTGGTCTGTGACTCTGGTCTGTGACTCTGGTCTGTGAGTCTGGTCTGTGACTCTGGTCTGTGACTCTGGTCTGTGACTCTGGTCTGTGACTCTGGTCTGAGACTCTGGTCTGTGACTCTGGTCTGTGACTCTGGTCTGTGACTCTGGTCTGTGACTATGGTCTGTGACTCTGGTCTGTGACTCTGGTCTGTGACTCTGGTCTGAGACTCTGGTCTGTGACTCTGGTCTGTGACTCTGGTCTGTGACTCTGGTCTGTGACTCTGGTCTGTGAGTCTGGTCTGTGACTCTGGTCTGTGAGTCTGGTCTGTGACTCTGGTCTGTGACTCTGGTCTGTGATTCTGGTCTGTGACTCTGGTCTGTGACTCTGGTCTGAGACTCTGGTCTGAGACTCTGGTCTGAGACTCTGGTCTGTGAGTCTGGTCTGTGACTCTGGTCTGTGACTCTGGTCTGTGACTCTGGTCTGTGACTCTGGTCTGTGACTCTGGTCTGTGACTCTGGTCTGAGACTCTGGTCTGAGACTCTGGTCTGTGAGTCTGGTCTGTGAGTCTGGTCTGTGACTCTGGTCTGTGACTCTGGTCTGTGAGTCTGGTCTCTGACTCTGGTCTCTGACTCTGGTCTGTGACTCTGGTCTGTGAGTCTGGTCTGAGACTCTGGTCTGTGACTCTGGTCTGTGACTCTGGTCTGAGACTCTGGTCTGTGACTCTGGTCTGTGACTCTGGTCTGTGACTCTGGTCTGAGACTCTGGTCTGAGACTCTGGTCTGTGAGTCTGGTCTGTGAGTCTGGTCTGTGACTCTGGTCTGTGACTCTGGTCTGTGAGTCTGGTCTGAGACTCTGGTCTGTGAGTCTGGTCTCTGACTCTGGTCTCTGACTCTGGTCTGTGACTCTGGTCTGTGACTCTGGTCTGAGACTCTGGTCTGTGACTCTGGTCTGTGACTCTGGTCTGTGACTCTGGTCTGTGACTCTGGTCTGAGACTCTGGTCTGAGACTCTGGTCTGTGAGTCTGGTCTGTGACTCTGGTCTGTGACTCTGGTCTGAGACTCTGGTCTGTGAGTCTGGTCTGTGAGTCTGGTCTCTGACTCTGGTCTGAGACTCTGGTCTGTGACTCTGGTCTGTGACTCTGGTCTGAGACTCTGGTCTGTGAGTCTGGTCTGTGAGTCTGGTCTCTGACTCTGGTCTGAGACTCTGGTCTGTGACTCTGGTCTGTGACTCTGGTCTGAGACTCTGGTCTGTGAGTCTGGTCTGAGACTCTGGTCTGTGAGTCTGGTCTGAGACTCTGGTCTGTGAGTCTGGTCTGTGAGTCTGGTCTCTGACTCTGGTCTGTGACTCTGGTCTGAGACTCTGGTCTGTGAGTCTGGTCTGAGACTCTGGTCTGTGAGTCTGGTCTGTGAGTCTGGTCTCTGACTCTGGTCTGTGACTCTGGTCTGAGACTCTGGTCTGTGAGTCTGGTCTGTGAGTCTGGTCTGTGACTCTGGTCTGAGACTCTGGTCTGTGACTCTGGTCTGTGACTCTGGTCTGAGACTCTGGTCTGTGAGTCTGGTCTGTGAGTCTGGTCTCTGACTCTGGTCTGAGACTCTGGTCTGTGACTCTGGTCTGTGACTCTGGTCTGAGACTCTGGTCTGTGAGTCTGGTCTGTGAGTCTGGTCTCTGACTCTGGTCTGAGACTCTGGTCTGTGACTCTGGTCTGTGACTCTGGTCTGAGACTCTGGTCTGTGAGTCTGGTCTGAGACTCTGGTCTGTGAGTCTGGTCTGAGACTCTGGTCTGTGAGTCTGGTCTGTGAGTCTGGTCTCTGACTCTGGTCTGTGACTCTGGGCTGAGACTCTGGTCTGTGAGTCTGGTCTGAGACTCTGGTCTGTGAGTCTGGTCTGTGAGTCTGGTCTCTGACTCTGGTCTGTGACTCTGGTCTGTGACTCTGGTCTGTGACTCTGGTCTGTGACTCTGGTCTGTGACTCTGGTCTGTGATTCTGGTCTGTGACTCTGGTCTGAGACTCTGGTCTCTGACTCTGGTCTGTGACTCTGGTCTGTGACTCTGGTCTGTGATTCTGGTCTGTGACTCTGGTCTGTGACTCTGGTCTGTGACTCTGGTCTGTGATTCTGGTCTGTGACTCTGGTCTGAGACTCTGGTCTGTGACTCTGGTCTGAGACTCTGGTCTGTGATTCTGGTCTGTGACTCTGGTCTGAGACTCTGGTCTGTGACTCTGGTCTGTGAGTCTGGTCTCTGACTCTGGTCTGTGAGTCTGGTCTGTGACTCTGGTCTGTGACTCTGGTCTGAGACTCTGGTCTGAGACTCTGGTCTGAGACTCTGGTCTGTGACTCTGGTCTGAGACTCTGGTCTGAGACTCTGGTCTGAGACTCTGGTCTGTGACTCTGGTCTGAGACTCTGGTCTGTGACTCTGGTCTGTGACTCTGGTCTGTGAGTCTGGTCTGTGACTCTGGTCTGTGACTCTGGTCTGTGACTCTGGTCTGTGACTCTGGTCTGTGAGTCTGGTCTGTGACTCTGGTCTGTGACTCTGGTCTGTGACTCTGGTCTGTGACTCTGGTCTGAGACTCTGGTCTGTGACTCTGGTCTGTGACTCTGGTCTGTGACTCTGGTCTGTGACTCTGGTCTGTGACTTTGGTCTGTGACTCTGGTCTGTGACTCTGGTCTGTGACTCTGGTCTGAGACTCTGGTCTGTGACTCTGGTCTGTGACTCTGGTCTGTGACTCTGGTCTGTGACTCTGGTCTGTGAGTCTGGTCTGTGACTCTGGTCTGTGAGTCTGGTCTGTGACTCTGGTCTGTGACTCTGGTCTGTGATTCTGGTCTGTGACTCTGGTCTGTGACTCTGGTCTGAGACTCTGGTCTGAGACTCTGGTCTGAGACTCTGGTCTGTGAGTCTGGTCTGTGACTCTGGTCTGTGACTCTGGTCTGTGACTCTGGTCTGTGACTCTGGTCTGTGACTCTGGTCTGAGACTCTGGTCTGAGACTCTGGTCTGTGAGTCTGGTCTGTGAGTCTGGTCTGTGACTCTGGTCTGTGAGTCTGGTCTCTGACTCTGGTCTCTGACTCTGGTCTGTGACTCTGGTCTGTGAGTCTGGTCTGAGACTCTGGTCTGTGACTCTGGTCTGTGACTCTGGTCTGAGACTCTGGTCTGTGACTCTGGTCTGTG